GTTAATAAATAATCAGGTAACAGATGATAGGAAAGGCCTGTTCCTGAGACTGGGTAGAAAATAATGGGCCTTATAGACAAACAAACTGACCCAGTATAAAACAGACTGAGTATTACAAAGCACTTCTTGCAAAATGAAATATGATAGACATGCACAGGATTACAACATACAAGTGGATAGAGGGTTCAGAAAATAATGGAAAGTTCAAACTGATGAAACGAATTACATCATACTGCAGAGAACACATATCATCTTTTTAATTAGTAATTTGCAACATATGGAATCGTAAGATGAACCTCCTCTAATTATCTCCCATGCTGCTTCAAAGAAAACAGAAAATTTCTGTATATAGAAATGCCATACTATGCATACTTCACATTTTTATGTCTTTGATCTTCTGCCAACATATAGATATGAATCCTAGACTCTATTGTAAATCCCTCTATACTTTAATGCCGGAAATGTCTTTCAGGCACTTGTTAGTGCAGTGATGATCCAAACATATTCCATAGCCAATTTCCAGTTGTTAACCTTCTCCTATCTTGAAACTGATTCTGTTTTCCCACTTCAGATAAGCCCAAACATTGACTGGCCTAACCATTCAAAAGCATGAAGTAGCTGCCTCAGGTACCAGATAGTAGGGGACAATGTTAAGGTGCTGAAAGACAGAGGTCTGGGAGTTGCATGGCCTGTGCTGTACATCCTAACCTCTTTGCTGGCCTCAGGCATGATGGAGAATGCTGCCCCATTGGTCTTTGCTTCAGGCAACATAATAACTTGTTCTCTGCCAGTGGAAGAGTAGGTAGTGTGAGTAACTGTATTATTTTAATGATATAACACATTGATTACAACACAAACTCTTGAAACACAAACACTGAAACTAGCAAAGGGAGGAATTCAGGAAATGGGTGGGACGAGGGTCCATAGCAGCATTCCCCAACTGAGTGCCCTCCAGATGTTTTGGACTCCAACTCCCATCAGCCCCATCCAGTATGGCATCTGGATCCAAGGGCAGACAATGGTTAACAACTTGGAACAGACACACAATTCAATCCTCTGATGCACACTCACCATTTGCAAGCAGAAGCATATTGCATTAGTTTTAACATAGTTCTTTTATGTTTGTGTATCATGATCCAGTGCAGGTCTATGCAGAAAGAATAGTGGTTACACACACACACACACACACACACACTGCACAAACTTTGATTACTGGATTGTGTTAAGTATTGGCAACAGGGTAGTTCTAGTTCCTAATGCTTACTGGGAAACAGCTGCTATTTCCTCAAGAGTTACAGCAAGGCCCCATTCAGATGGATAGGTAAGTCTGGAGAGTCTGAGTAGACAATACTATTTTTTTAAAATCCACATTGCTTGCCAGCGCTAGCTGGAGCTGTTTCTGCTTTTTACATACCATCACATCTAGTTTTCATATGTGGGAGACCTTGAATCCAGGCTCAGCTCAGTGTATAGTTGAATAGTGGATACAGCACCAGGCAACTTTCATGTGACTGGTTTAACTCCTGGCAGTGCTGGTGAAAACCTCTGCAGCCTAACTAAAAAAAACCAAAACCCACATCACTGCCACAGCTTCAAATGGTCTGTGAATGAGTCAAGCCCAAATTTGTCAATTTCATCATGAGGCTCCCAAGAACAGAAGTTCTGTCCAAGTGAACAACTCACAACTCCAAAGTTCTCCCTTTCTAAAGTTAGGGATGATATAGGTGGATCCTGTGACTGGTAAAAGTAACAAGAGCAAAATGTTTTTATCAATTCCCCATAGACAATTATTGGGAGTTACTGAGCTAACATAAAATTGCAGCTGTTTTAAAAACACAATTAAATCAATCTTCTGTGAAATTTTCAAATAAACATTAGCCTCTTCTCCACCCAACCTGTTTCTGTTATGTGAAAACTCTGTGCCTCTTTAAACATTTAGTTGTGTGTAGGAAACAGATTATCCTGTTTGCCTTTATTATGATACATGTCACTCTCTGATCCCTTTCATGATTTGTCAATTCTTCGGATTATTTAATAGCTCCACAGTGAAGTTTCAAGAGGTGACCTCAGGACTCTGCCATTATTTCCCCAACAGACAGAAAAGGACAGGGACCTTGGTGTGAGCCCTTGACCTTAGCTGACAGCCCAGCGGCGCCGACAACATGCCAGCAGGGGAGTGTTGGGGGCGGACATAAAAGACAGATGGCCCAATTCATCATACACTAGGAATAAATAAAAGCAGCTTCAAGCACTGCTAGTGCAGTGATGACTGCACAGTCCACAAATATGGAAGCCTGCCAAACAATTATAAACACAAAGGATAGAATGGCAGATGCAAAGTGAGCCTAAGAAAGAACAGGAGGTGGAAGAGTGTGATGTGCACCTTCCTAAAGAAGTACTTAAATGAATGTGATTTACACTAGCACAATGTATGCAAGCAGGTCTATTTTTCTGTCCTGAAAAGAAATTAAACATCACAGTCAGAAGCTAACTTTAACTGTCAGGATAAGGCTGCACACTTAACATGGGAGCAAGTCTCAGTGAACTGAATAAGACTTTTGAGTAGGCAGGCATGGGAGTTCACTATTGATGACTGAACTTTCGCATTTGTGTTAGCAAAGGCACTTCAACATAGATGGTGTCCAGAGAGAAAAGAAACTGAAAATACTTTACTGCAGTGTTTCCCAACCTTTTTCTGACCATGGCCCCCTTCCAACCTTGTTTCCTTCCTGTGCCCCCTTTTACAATAAGTAAAAACCAATGCAAATCAATACAAATCTGAGGTTCTGCCCCCTAACAAAAATCCTGGCTATGCCCATGTCCTACCGGTAGAAGCATAGCTATTTTAATGTTTTCTTTATAAATAGAACATGTTTTATTTACAATTTTTATAATTTATACAAAATATAATTACATAAAATGATAGGAACACAATGAAATATTGTTGAAGCAGAAAAGCATAGAATCACGGAGCTGGAAGAGACCCCAAGGGTCATCTTTCTAGTGCAATCCCCTGCAATGTAGGAAACTTAGCTAAAACATCTATGACAGATGGCCATCCAACCTCTGCTTAGAAACCTCCAAGGAAGGAGAGTCCAGAACCTCCTGAGGGAGATCTATCTTCCATGTATTATAAAAAGTAAACAACACGTATTTGACCCCAGTTATTTGCTACCAGCATGAGTTTGACTAAACTGCGGGAGGCAATGGAAGACAGAAGTGCCTAGCGTGCTCTGGTCCATGGGGTCACAAAGAGTCGGACACGACTAAATGACAACAACAATTTGTCACAGAGGGGGAAACCTACAGATACAGTCCAAAAGGTGCATAGGGAGTTCTATATATATGGGAGAATTTTAAAAAGTAAGTGGTCCTCACTGACCTGGTGCAAAAAGATCTTGTCATCCGGAGGAGCCCTAGCTGCCTAGATAAAACACTGTAGCCAAAAACATCCTTACCTGGGAGTAAGGCCCACTGAATGCAGTGAGGCTTTCTTCTGAGTAGACACTTAGTTATTTACTAGATGCAAGTCAGCAACACCAGAAGACCCCGCTCGGCTAGATTTCATCCCGCACCTTGCAGAACCGGGCTGCCGCTGCCAACAGGCCCTGCATCCCTTGGCAACATCTGAAGGCACCAGTCCGCTAGGTGCTGGTGTGGATTGCACCCTGTGCCTTGCAGAGTTAGCCCAGGCTGCCACTGGGCCCAACACCGGTGGCAGCAACAAGCAGCTCTGGCTCACCCAGCCATACCCATTGCCACCCCACCACTGCACATACCTGACAAGCGGGTTCTGGCCTGCGGGCTCTACTGGCCAAAATGGGGGCCATAGCAATTGCCCTCTCCCACCAGAAACAAAGACTGCTCCCAAAAAATGTGTATGGCAAAAAGGAGCACTAAGCCCTGGTGGCCTGCCCCTTGTGATTGGCCAAGCGGATAGCCAGTTAATCAGGATTTAAAAACAAACAAACAAACATTCTCACTTCCCTCTGTGGCCCTCTAGCCTTGTGCTGTGGCCCCCGTTTACATGATTTTCACCTGTAGTCCCCTTAGGGGTATCATGGGGTCCCCCAGGGGGGCCATATGCCTCCCGGTTGGGAAACAATGCTTTACTGGGTAAATTGAAAAAGAACACTGTATAACTTGAAGAGCAATAAACAGAGGGCTTTTGTCTTTTTATGTTAGGCCTTGTTCACATCCAGAAGACATTCAACAGCTAAACTTACGAGGCTGAAACTTCCACAGAACTGCACAGTCATTCAGAGCACGAATTAGCTCAGTAAGGGTCATGCCATTCTGACTCATTGTTGCTAGGCAATACCTTCAACTTCACTCACCCCGGGTGGCTAACTATGAACAGAATTAACCCTTAAGTTACTAAGTGAATGATCCCTGCTGTTGTACTTCCAGCTACAGTGATACCTCGGGTTACATATGCTTCAGGTTACATATGCTTCAGGTTACAGACTCCGCTAACCCAGAAATAGTACCTTGGGTTAAGAACTTTGCTTCAGGATGAGAACAGAAATTGTGCAGCGGCGGTGCAGCAGCAGCGGGAGGCCCCATTAGCTAAAGTGGTGCTTCAGGTTAAGAACGGACCTCCGGAATGAATTAAGTTCTTAACCCGAGGTACCACTGTATTTGTATCCTCCCTTTTTTTCAAGAGCTCAGGGCGGCATACATTGGAATGTCTTATTTTATCATCTCAACAATCCTGTGAAGTAGGGTAAGCTGAGAGTGCATGACTGGCCACAGTTGCACAGTGAGCTGCATGACTGAACATAGATATTGAACTTATGGCTGGTCCAAGTATTACAGTACACTCAGTGTAGGCAGACTTCCAACTTGCATAATCTAATTTAATTTCTACTAGCCCTCAAGGTCCAGTAATGGAAGCTAAGGGCAAAGAGATACACAAAAGACATGAACTCTTGAGCACATGCATAGCCCTAGAACTGTTTTATTATCTCAACTGAGCTCAGTCTTTTTACACAAAAATCTGCTTCTGTTTCCTTCCAACAAGCTTTCTTTGCACAACAGCCTAATTCAGACATTTTGTTGTTGCTCTTGTGAAATAAATGGGAATCTGAAACTGTTGTTTATGTATTGCAAACCAGTGTTCTACCAGTAGATCCCAGTCTCTTACATAAATGTTACAAAATTTCCTTTACAGAATCATTCAAAACTAAATCAGGGGCCACATGCAAATAATAATATGTCTGATGGATAAAATGTCAACACGTAAAGCTTTCCCCATAATTGTATTCCCATGCTAGAAAAAGGCTTACCCTGTTTAATTTGTGCTAGCCACACAGCTGGCACAAGGCAACATTCTTTTTGTTCCTGGACCGAGACTTCTTGCTGTGAGCTCTTCCTGTTGGAAGAGAATAAAACTCTTCAGAAGGGAAATTACAAGAAATGCCTCACATGCCTTCCTCCGATTGCTTAACAACAGTGCTGCATTATTAACAACAGCAGCACTTCCATATCTACCCTAATGAGCCTCAGAACATTGGCTCCATGTTTTGCCTTCTAACTTTCTTTATATATGTCCAAAATGAATTTTCTTTCCTTTTTAATGGGGGTAGCAGAGTTGGATGAACATGAAGATGAACTAGAAAATATTCAGAGTTCTACCCCCAAATGAACTTATTTCACCTTTCATTCATCTGGCACTTATGGGAACTACTTTCAGCTGCAGTTCAGAGAGTTTTGAACTAGTTCAATGAACTTCATTCAGTTGAACTAGTTCATTCTAAGAACTGAAAGTCCTTACCCACGCACTACGGATGCTGATTTAATAAATGTCTATACTGCCCTTCATCTGAGGACCACAGGGCAGTTTACAATATTAAAACACAAAAACACATAATGTAGTAACAAACAAAAACAATACCCACCCACGCTGCCTGTTTGCTGTACAGGATGATAATAGCCTGGTCTTTTTCACATATGGAAAGGCGTGATAGTAGTAAAGAATACATGCAAGACAATGTACATCAAATACACATGCAATACAGACTCTATGATGAGAGCTTGCACTTCATGCAACACTAGAGTCCTAACTCCATTTACCTGGGAGTAAGCCCCATGTAATTCACTAGGACTTACTTCTGAGTCTGTGAATCTACATAATTATGATCTGTGCCTGTCTGCGCAGGCATGCAATTAGGATTGGACAAATCAGCCTATCAGGATGTGTTTTTTATGTATAAATGAGCAATCATTATTTATTACGAGTTGGTAGTATTTTCCCCACACTGTGTAAATAACTTAATCAAACATACTTATTCAAAAGTAGCAATTGCTATAGAAACTTCACCTTCAGGCACAAATAGAAATTCTGTTTCTGATGTTTCCCTTTTTATAAGCTAACGAAAAAGCCAGACATTAAATGTGGCTTCCTTTTTGTAGACGTAGTTGTTGCTGCTGTTAGCACTACCACAGACTCATGGGCCTCCACAATTTGTTTTTACTATAATTGTTTTACTCTAACAGGTGCTCAGTAACACCTGTGTTTCTGTGGTTTTACCATTCAGCTAGTAGATGTTTGAAAGCTATTTGGAAACCAGACAGAGATGAAGTATGTCTCTAATGAAGTAGTAACTCAATGGGTAGTGTATTTCTGGAGGATTATCTGAGGCCTCAGACACGTTGTAAGACATGAGGCTGAAGGCCAAGTACTTTCAACCCCCTGCAAATGCAATAATCCACCAGAAATGCTTTGACTGGTTTGTACCATCTTATTGAAGGCTCTGAAGCAACAATAATTTAAGAGAGTGATGGGTTAAAACAAGTGTGCTGTCTCACTTAATGGGGATTATCAGTATTCAGTTAGGAAGTGTGACTTGCTCTTACAACTATAAAATAGGTTTCATTTCTTAAATCAACTTTAAAAAAAAGTCACATGAGACTTTCCGGACAGCACATTGCAATAAAACTTTTACAAGCCAAGCAATCCACAAATCATTTTGACTGATGCGTCCATGACAGAGCTGTATTTGTTGGCAAGCATTTTCACCTTTCATCCCTTCTAAGGAAGTGCCTTAATTAAGTCTCTGCAGTTGCTTTGGCAGCCACACCCTATGTAAAAATATTCACAAGGCTGTGCTGTGTGTATTAGTTAACATCTTGGTGATGTCTTCGAATACCACAGGATGGCTAGTTTCAAAATCACTGCTTGCTGACTTCCCCAAATACAGCATTCTAGTTTTATGCCTAACACTGTTTGAATATCAGAAAACATGCCAAAATTATTCTAAGTGTCTTCGCATGAAACCAATATCCACTCTGTTTGGAAACCATATCTAAGCTATACACATAGAGCTGGAGGCAGACTAAGTGTCCAAATCTGTTAATCTGTACTCAGAAGTAAGCACCATTGAGTTCAATGGGACTTATTCCCAGATGTGTATAGGTTTGCAAGCTAAATTTATTGAATTTAGCTCTCATAGAAATCCATGGAATTTAGGTAATGACTAACTCATCCCATTGATTTCAATAGGATCTAAGTTCAATTTTCTTACATCAAGCCCGTAATGTGTGTTAATGGATGTTTCCCTGGAGTTTAAAATGAATAATAGCAGTTATAAATGCTGAGCTCCATCTTAAATTAATCTGGATATGGCAACAGCTTCACCTTTACTCAAAAAGAAAAGTCTGACATCTTCTGAACTGATTTAGAACACTAATCCCCAAACATCTCAATAATGAGATTTTATGCTTAAAATAAGATGACTGTTATCACTAGCAGAGTCTCATAATAACGCATGTGACAGGAGTCAACTGCTTTTAGTTTTGTAAAACTAGTATGCAAACTTTCTTCCATTGTTTCATATGAAAATGAAATGTCAAGGTATCTTTCATTTACTTTTGATCTTCTCTAGAATCATGCTTTGGTACTATAAGCTTCCCTGTAAGATTGTGTGTGCATCTATGTACACACACACACACACACACACACACACACACACACACTTTGTGCTGCTTGGTCTATTAGGTGTGTGTGGGACTACAAACAGCAACACACAACATTGGAAAGATTGTTGTCTGCATTAACCTTTTCAGAAGGGGTTTATCCCTGTGCACTGGGAATTATGACATGAAATACTCCACTGTTGAAATTCGGTGTGAGGATTATCATCAGACTCATGTTTTGTTAACCTACAGCAGTTCCAGGCTCCTGTTGGCACACTAATAGTCTGAGGCTCTTGTTGCAAAGTTTTTGAAGCATTAGCGCTTAGTACTAGGGAATGAAAATAAGAAACATTTCAACATCATGGCCATACGGTGTGCTAATGACTGCTCGGTGATACCTTTGTGTGTGTATGTCTTCAAACTCATATATGGTTCTTACAAAAATGAAAGCAGATGGATCTGCAGCAGCATAAGTATCCAAAGCCTAGCTCAGAAGCAAATGTGCATGGACTTCAGGGAAGGTTAGATTCACTGGTGAATTTTGCATCTAGATTTTCAAATAACTAGATTTTCCTGTGGTAAAATCTTTCCAATGCATGTCCCCCCCACAAGTGGCGTAGGAAGGGGGGTGCAGTGGGTACGGGCCACCTGGGTGTCATCCCTGAAGGGGGTGACAAAATGGCTATGGGCTATGCGACACGGTGGCTCGGGCACCTGCAGGTGCCACGCTGCCCAAAATGGCAGTGTGGGGCTTGCATCCGTCTGCCGCCTCTCCCTCAGCCATCCTACAGCTGGGGGGGGGCAGTGGCGAGGCTCGATGCAGTGCAATATGCCCCAGCTTGCCCCACCCAGTGGGTGGCTTGCCTTGTGCACGTGACGCTCCGGGGGCCTGAGCTACACCGCTGCATTGGGGGAACGAGCTACAGATTGCAAACAACAGGAGCTAATGGGGCCTCCCGCTGCTGCCGCGCCACCACCGCGCGATTTCTGTTCTCATCCTGAAGCAAAGTTCTTAACCCGAGGTACTATTTCTGGGTTAGCAGAGTCTGTAACCTGAAGCGTATGTAACCGGAAGCGTATGTAACCCAAGGTACCACTGTATATATAATGCAGAAAAACCTTGGCCTCATATGTTTATTTATTCATTTTATATAGACACTCGTCTATGGCACGGATGGGTTTCAAACATAACAGTACTAAAAATGCTAAATAATAAGTAGCAATAAAATAGACATATTTCAGCTGTTTCTGGGCACAATTCAAAGTGCTGGTTATCACCTATAACACCCTACATGATGTAGGTCCAAGCTATCTGAAACACCATATGTGAACCTGCATATGAGAACCTGCATATGAACACCTGCATATGAGAACCTGCTTAGGTTTTGAGATCTTCAGGGATGTCCTTCTCGGTCCCACTACCCTCACAGGCCTGCTTGGTGCGGACATGGGAGAGGGTCTTCTCAGTGGCTGCTCCCAAACTCTGGAACTGCCTCTTTGGAGAAGCTAGACTGGCTCCCTCCTAGTTGTCCTTCAACTGGCAGGTGAAGACTTTCTTTTCCAAAAGGCCTTTGGGAACTGACTGCTTTAATGAAAGGACTGGTGCTGTGCTGTTTTTATGTAATTATTCGTATTTTTTAAACACAGTTCATATATGTACATAGTTTTAATTCTATCAATGTTTAATTGTATTTTAATGATTGATTTTTCTATACAGCGGTACCTCGGGATGCAAATGGGATCCGTTCCGGAGCCCCGTTCCCATCTGGAATGGAACGCAAGACGCGATGGCGTGTCTGCGTGTGCATGGGTCGTGTTTCGCCGCTTCCACGCATACGCGTGGCGTCATTTTGAGCGTCTGCGCATACGCGAGCGGGGAAGCCCGGAAGTAACATGCTCCGTTACTTCTGGGTTGCCGTGGAGTGTAACTCAAACACACTCAACCCGAAGCACATTCAACTTGAGGTATGACTGTATTTTTAATAAAATTAATAAAAATCTGTAAACTGCTTTGAGTTTTCTCAGGAAAAAAGGGGAAGTATAAATAACTATATAATAATAACAACAACAACAACAACAACAACAAAAATAATAAATAAATAAATAAATAAATAAATTCTTTCCCAGATGTTTCTGGCTGGAGTTAGGCATTGGTTACATGTTTCCAGTTCAGTAGCCCACGGAATGATAAAGGGCAAAGCATTTGCATCTGAAGGTGACCAGTCTGCATTCTAGACTGGGATTACCTCACCAAAACAATGTTTAGAAGGTGGTTTAAAGTAAGTTAGCTCCAGAGTGTGGGCAGAGTGCAAATCCCAAGCTTTTAAAGCAACAATGAGAAACTTTCTTCCAATTATACCTGGGGTGACCCCTTCATACCTTACTTGTGGGCTTTGGGAGACAACTATTGACCACTATGGGAAGGAGGATTCTGGACTAGCACTAAAACCCTATGCACGAAGCCAATGCGGTTGAACCTAAAGTAAGTGTGCATAGGATTGCAGCCTTTATTTTTAGTGCGATCTAACAGGGCTCTTCCTCTGTTCTTATTCCCTGAAAAATAGAGGACATACCCAAGCTAAAACAGAGGTAAATATATTCCAATATGCTTCTTCTACTTAAATATTTAGACATTTATGGTGGCAGTGCAAGATTTAGGAAAATCTTTACCACAGCATCCATGAGTCTTGCGCTGAACCTGCTGGTTATTTTGCAATCAAATACTCTACTGTCATTTATACATGCAAAAAAGCTGACTTACCAGATGGCCTGAGCTATGGCAACTTATTTCTTTATTGACAATATGCATACTTTACTATTACATTTTGGTGAAGGCTGCCACTGATGTGCAATCTTTATAACTGCTACTAATCCAGAATGTAGCAGCTAGACTGGTGACTGGAAGTGGCCACCGAGACCACATAACACCGGTCTTGAAAGACCTACATTGGCTCCCAGTATGTTTCTGAGCACAATTCAAAGTGTTGGTGATGACCTTTAAAGCCCTAAATGGCCCCAGTCCTTTATACCTGAAGGAGCGTCTCCACCCCCATCATTCTACCCAGACACTGAGGTCCAGCGCCGAGGGCCTTTTGGCGGTTCCCTCACTGCGAGAAGCCAAGTTACAAGGAAGCAGGCAGAGAGCCTTCTCGGTAGTGGCACCCACTCTGTGGAACGCCCTCCCACCAGATGTCAAAGAGAACAACTACCAGACTTTTAGAAGACATCTGAAGGCATGTTTAGGGAAGCTTTTAATGTTTGATGCATTACTGTATTTTAATATTTTGTTGGAAGCCCCCCAGAGTGGCTGGGGTGGCCCAGCCAGATGGGCGGGGTATAAATAATAAATTATTATTATTATTATAATCAGTTGTTGCTGTTTTAATTGTAACTTTGCATCCACGAGCTGCAGTATTTGAAAGCGACATTTTTGTTTTGATACCCAGCGCTTGTTATTTCAAGTGACTTACACAAATCCGCATGCACCATAATTAAAATTCTGTCCTAATCATCAAAGGAAAGTGAAGGCCAAGGCAATGCATGTCATGCATATCTTGTTTCTCCACTGATCATCCGGTAAAAATAAATCACAACGGATGCCACATAACCTCTCCTTTCATTGTTTAAACAGCTAGAAAGGCTAATGTGCAAAACCCATTCTAGGAATCCTGTATGAGTATGAAAATATGCTGTACAATAACTATTAAACATTTCTATAATAACTCCAATACTTTTTAGTATTATAAATAATGTTACAGCCTAGTTAGTACAAGAGTGTTTCTACCTGCCTCGTCTTTGCTGCTGAAGAGGCTTAGGGTACAGCAAATGTGCATGTCCAATGCCCTCTGCCAGGAGGGGGGCTTTAATGTTGTGGAGGCTCCTTCTGCGATCACATAAATTGCAGTCGATAGGACTGCTGGTGGTAGCAAACAAAGAGACTCAAGGCAGATTGTTATGAACGGGGAGTGGAGCAGAGCCAGCCATGCATCTGCTGGTTCCAAAGCTGATCTGTTCCCTAGAGCAAAAGATTATCTCCTCATTCCCTCACAAAAGTCTGCTTTGAATTGATCTGCCCTGTACAGTACTTTCCCCACTTCCTCTGTTGTGTCCCCGTGTCAATTTTTAGATTGTGGATTTCTCAGGGCTAGGCCCTCTTGAACCATGAATGGCACCATGCACATTGATGCTGCTATATGAGTAGTAAATAAAAACATGGCTATCTTACAGCACAAAGAGAAATGAAACTAGTTTATATCTCAGAGTGCTACTGTATAAAGGTAGTGTGTAAATGCTGTTAATGTTTTTAGAAGGTGAAACTGGGATGCGGGTGGTGCTGTGGTCTAAACCACAGAGCCTAAGGCTTGCCGATCAGAAGGTCCGTGGTTCGAATCCACATGACGGGGTGAGCTCCCATTGTTTGGTCCCAGCTCCTGCCCACCTAGCAGTTTGAAAGCACTTGAAAAGATTATACCATCCCAATCAAAGTTACAACAGTGACAATTCAAAGTTGATTGAAACCCTAAAATTGTGGTTATGTGTCATCAAGACTCAAGCAGGTGAAGATTTACAGTGGAGTAAAATGGTATTTTACAGAGACAAGACCATCACACAAACTTCCACAGATTCCACATTTGTCCAGGTTATCATGTGATAGGGGAAACTTTCCAACAGAGAGGCTTAGTTAGCTGATGAAAGCCACACACTGTAACTGTCTCCTCCTGATTCAAGAAAGCATTTGCTAAAGTAATACTGTCTTCTGCATGTATAGTGAAGGGATATTACTGCCTTACCCACCACCTAAAGCTGGTGACAGCATAATCCTTGATCTACATTCTGAAAGTTTAGAAAAGACTGGAGTGTGAAACTTACCATACCTTTGATGTTTACACATGCTCTTGGATCCCAAAATACTGCCCCATGTAATGAGTGACTATTTTCTGTTCCCTTCTTAATTCTGAAACAGCAACTGTTCACTACTAAAGCTAAAAGAAAAGAAACTGAGCAAAACATAATATGCTCCTAATTCACAATTATTATTTTAAAATTATTTTTATTGGATTTTACTGTGCACAAACTCTGTGAGATTTGTGGGGCCAAACAGGAATGTTATAGCAGAACAAGCAACATTCAGATCAGTGTGCTAGTTGCTCACCCAAGCCCACGTCTATAAGCAGAACTTGTAGTCAATGAAGTTTACTCAGAGTAGGCCCACTGAAATTAATGAACATGACTAAGTTAGGTCCATTGATTTGAATGGGCCTATTCTGCGTAAAACTTAGTTAAATACCACCCAGAAATATTTGCATTTTTCATCTGGACGTGCTCACTCAAGAAGTTTCAGCCACAGAGACAGGAGGGAGGAGCAAAGCCCTATAATAATCAGGGCCATTAATCCCAGGAACAGTGGGAGTCAGTGCTGCTTATAACACTTGCATGCTCAAAATATAAGTAAATGAAAAAGTGAGTAAATATCTATTCACAAGTATCTCAGAATTTTCTTTGTGAATTGTTGCATCTGGAGGGCAGGAAACTACCGTACTTTTGGAAAGGAGGATGAACTACCCTCATTTACAGTAAGTTACAAAATACAGCAACAACTACCTTTCACTGAAGTTTTCATAGCCCCAGGGGGCAAGAATGGTTAAACCTCCTAACTATTTTGTCTATTGAGTGTGAACTTGCAAGAAATCAATTTTGGGGAGATGATGTTTTTGTAATTAAAAATAAACTTTAAAATGAATTGATCTGTTTATGGAATGTTTGGTGCTGTGTTAGTAAACTAGAATAAAAAAAATAAAAACAGTGAAAGGATATTAATTTTATGAATACTAGTCAAAAAGTTACTAAATAGCAGAATGTTTCTTCAAGCCAGTTGTTATGTTAAACAAAAGTGGCAGACAGGATGTGCGTGTTTGCGGGGCATGGTAGAAAAATTCCAGTGTGGATCAGAGTGTAATTTCAAACATATGGCAAATGCAATTTCAGAATTAGAATGTAAACTTTTATTGCATGAGTTGTGATATTGTATTAATAGCATGGGACTGTGGTATGTGTGATGGAGGGGGCCTGTCTTGGATGGTTGTACTGGGCCCTTAAATTTAGAGCATTAAATAGCAGTTTAACATATAAACAAACTGACACGCAAGTACTGTTATAGTATAAGCTGATTATTCAGGAAGCATAACCTGAATAGTTTGAAACTTTTAAAATTAATTGGAAAATTGCCTAAAAACACCACTGAAGAAAAAACATTGAATTAAAGTAATTCTTTAGAAGAGCTAGTGGCAAAGGTTCTGTGAGCGACTATATTTTGCTGTTCTTTTCTTCCATTGTTTTTGCATGTGGCAAAATCATTTTCACTTCAGCCAAGTGGATGTAAACTGTGTGTAATTGGAATTTTCCACTTATTCAGAGTGGTTATTGTATTTTTACAGCCGCTGTACACACTTCTTGTACAGGTGTGAATGTCTATAGGAGACAAGGCAGTTGGAAATAGGCAGGGCATATTTCACAAAAGAGTAGACATTTTAAAATCTGAGAATAAACTGAAGTCTAAAATACATTTTGGCTTACTATGACACAAGACAATCATATAGGATTGGGTTGTGCAGCCTTGGTTCTTTGTTGCTCCGTCTCTTCCAGGCTCTTGTTTAGATCCTATCAACCTCCCATTTTTCATAGCCTTGCAACACAGCTGGCATTTAAGGAATCAAAAGCATTTGAATAATTCAGACCTTTCCTTTTCATCTCAAAGCCCAATATGGATTGCCAGGTTCAAAAGCAAAAATTAAGAAATGATTTCACCTGCTTAAAAACATGGTAGGAGAAGGGGGGCAAATCTACAGCACAATTGAACTGGACATTTTCCGTTTTCTGAAACCCTTGGAATGATAGGTTTTCTATAGGGTGCTGTATGGGAGGAGCCTATGGTTCTCTAACTATATGGTTTTCAGAGGGCAAAGTGTGGGAGCACAAAGTTGGACATTGTATATGTGTATGCGTAATCTTGCACCATTTTTTATATATAGAAGATCCCAAGTTTTCCTAAATGATTTCCAGTGCAGGTAATTTACCTCTTGTTCCTTCAGAAACAGGGGAAAATATCCTAAGGCTGGCAAAACATACAAGAAAAAAGAGCAATTGATTTGAAACTTTAGAACCAGGAATAGTCTGGGACAGGACACTGTTTTGCTACCTTGTTTTTGCTCCTTAACCTTGAAATTGTTACATTTTCATAAAGCCTTTGTCTTTTAATTATCCATGGCCTTTTTGTGTGGATAGGATGTTTAAACTAGTTTTTAAAAAGTAAAATTGTCTTCTAGATTGTTTAGATTGTTGGTTTTTTACTGCTGGTTTTAATGTATGTTTGTGTATGCTTGCTTGTTTTGCTTAAAAGTCACTATGAGTTGCCATGGCAAAAAAAGCAACAAATAAAAAAAATACCATGAAATTAGACACTTTTGAGACTTTCTAATCCTATCTCTAACAGATAATTCTCAGAAGTCTCACCAAACTAAAATTCCCAATATTTTTAATGGAAAGCCATAGCAGTACAATTAGTAGAAACCAATATTTATAAGTCTGTAGTACGTATG